GGTATGGTTTAGATATTTTCCCTGAAAACAACCCGATTTGATTTTCACAGGAGGTTCCGGAAAGGACACAAGATTCATACAGTGACACTCAACCTCTTTTAGGGGACAGCCGGGCAGAGAAATCCTGATTCATCGCGATGTGGAGTGGGAGTTTTGTATTGTACTTGATCATTGGTACGTCATACTTTTACGGACTTTTAGTGATTAACTATGAATTTTGCATTGGAGTTGACTGCCATGATCGAAACATGAAATATATGTTGTTTGTCATTAGGCATGGTAGAAGGGTGATGAATCAATAAAGTTCATTTCTATATAGTATCGTGAAATTGAAACTAGAACAATCACAGTAGCAAATCAGAACGATGTTACGTTACAGGTAAACGCGGGAAAATGCGAGTAACCAAGTTGCGAGTGATAGTTTTGCATCTGATTGGCTAAGAAGGTGATTGATCTGGACCGGAGTTCTCTATGAATCTCCTTCGCTGCTCTCCACTCTTTTCCTCTTTATCTTCCATTCAACAACTTACGTGCATACACACGTCTACGTACCTCTAACTTGCTTCTCTTTAAACCTCTTTTATTGCTAACGTTACCACTTAAAATGTAAAATTTGGGCAAAATCGCCCTTTCGTTTGATTGATACTTTCCTCTCTAATTATAGAATTAAATATAGACCATAGCTAGATATTGATGGACTGTTTCCATAAACCTCTTTACAACTATATTCCTTTCGTAAGAACGATAAACTGATATTGTCTGTCGCGAAATTGAAATACAATAATTTGCATTTGTAAGTTTCACGCTTTACCTGATTTATAGCTAAACGAAAATGATTTTTCCTTTCGAATATTTAAATGTTTCGCGACAAATTTTGGATTAAAAATGAGTAAATACGAGTAACAAATACAATTCAACCTTTTTAGGAATGGCTAGATTTTGTATATTATGTTACATGTAATTGGTACTCTTGTTTCTAATCATAACACCTACAAGACAGGTTAAATTTTTGTAAATGTACCTAAATAAAGGTTTCAACACATTGTAGTTCTCACGTTGTCTTCACAACCCTAGGTTTCGCCTATCGATATACTGGAGCTACGATTGTTGCACACGTTCTAGAAACAAGTTGAAAGATATTCGGCTCTCAAAGGTCAAGAAGCACTTATCTTCGTGAATTGTTAGGCTCTGTTTATAACGTCTCTTTCTTTTTTGAGAGAAAGGAAAAAATGAGATGGCGAAATGTAGGTATTTTTAACCCCTAAATTGAAATGTGTCCACGATTTACAATTAACTGTACGACTCCTATTGACAGCTGTTATCCGCAGCTGTATGAAAATGATTGGTTGATTCTTATGGTGATGTAGTGGTGTTTGTAAATGACGTAGGACTAATCGCTGCAGCTTCGAAAGACTCGTCATATAGAAATCCTGAAAGGTAAAATGGAACATTAAAAGTTGCAGTTATGCGCGTGCGTTCAGTTTAGAACCTTAATGAAATATATTGGTATTTCTATAGTAAGCTCAGTTATGCTTGCATTCTGATTGGTTCTCACTTATGATCTATTGGAGGACAGACGCATAGATGACGTCATCGTTAAAACTTTTTTTTAATTCTTTATTATATAAAACAAATAGATTCCAAGTTGCCGTGCGTCTGTTCAGTAATAGGTCACAGATGACGTCAAAATGTGGTAAGAACAAAAAAGTGGCACACGAGGCGCAGCCGAGTTTGTCACTGATGTTCTTACCACATTTTGACGTCATCTGTGATCTATTACTGAACAGACGCACGGCAACTTGGAATCTATTTGTTAAACATCTACTTTATCAACTAGCGTTCAATCACAAATGGTGAGATCTGATTGGTTTCGCTACACGCTATCTACTCCGTAGTACATAGTGAGGAGCCTGACAAAAACGAGTTTAAACGAACAAGAAAAAAATCTTTTGTCGCCGTAGACTACAACTAGCTACCGTATTCGAGGTATTTTAGGGAAAACACTTATCGGAATGCCTGAAAGGAGTATTTGAAATCTAAAAGTTAAGGGTGAAAGAATATGGGTCAGCCAGACCTTAAAACATGAGAGATATGACCTTATGGCTTACCAGCAATACTGGCCGTCATAAAGCAGGCTATTGTAGCTGCAAACAGGGTCCTTATAGCAATTCTCGCCATGTCCCCCTCTCGGCTACGTGCCATTGGACCCAGTCCTCCAAGTAACACACCCAGGCCGAGAAAATTTGTAAATCCACACAAAGCATAAGTTGTAATGACTTCCGATCGACGCTATAAGAAAATGAGAAAAATAAAAGAGTCACAGGAAAAAGGTGGAATTACGCGATAAAGAGATATAGAATTTCCATTTTTAGAAAGTGTTGTGTGTACTCTGTAAATAAAACTGGTCAGGTGGCCTCTCGGTAGCCTTCCGTAACCTTTCTAACCAAAAAAACTTCGAAATTTCTTAGGAAACGTTCAGCTTTCCCAGGAAATAAGCAAAACATCCGCAGACTATCGCAAGACTATCAAAACGACCATCTGCCCACTTCCTAATTGTGTAGGTGAACTGCTTATCAGAGAATTGTTAAATCCACTTGGATTAAACCCTTTATATCCTAACATCAGTATGCAAGTACTTCCTACTGTTCGCCATACATACCCTTAGGTACTTACAGGGAGAATTTGTCTAACAATCAAGAGCTTATTGAGGTTGCGATCATTTCCTTTGTTCTCATTACCTAAATATATGATTCAGGGGTGATACTGTTGGGAGAAATAAGACGCTTATTACTGTCAGGGGTCAGTTGGGAGTTACCAAGAAGTTATTTCTCTATACAACGTCAGTACATCATTAAGCAGAAAAGTGACGAGAATGACGAAAAATGTCAACTGCGGGATATCATTTGATTCAACAACAACTTCTCAGAAGTAAACTTTTTAAGAGGTTTATGGTAGTGAGTGGGGAGAATCGCTACTGAGATCTTACTGATATCGTGGGTCCTCCATTCATTTCGTTTCGGTTCTTTATGTATGGAGCCATCTCAAGGTAAGCCACGAACTCGTTAAGAAATGTTTTTATCCCGAGGAACCTCCCCACAGTATTGCAGTCGGCCCAGTCTACTCCCATGAGAAACGCAAACGGCATGAAAAGGTAGGAGCAGATGACCTGAGGTGGAGAGGAAAATAAAAAGGTCCGTTCCTTCAAAACAAGTCATTAGGACATTTGGAAGCAAGAATTAATCAAGAGAAAAAGAAGGGAACATAAATTTGGTCTCGATTGAAGTACATTTGAACAAAAAGGTAGAAAATTAAGTATTACAAAACCAAATTGCCATCAAATGTCCATGGCTATTTGTTTACAGTAGACATAACTACCGCGTTTCAATTTTAATTAAAGTTGACTCTCGTAACTAATACCTCGCGAGAGAAAGCGCGCATGACAGAGTAACCTTAAAAAAAAAATTTTGAACTCATCAAGACATATACGAAAGAGTAAAACCAACTCTGTTGCAGTTATTTCTGACACACACCGAAGTCGCACAAGAGTTGCGCTTGGATTCGGTTGTCGCGTTGACCCCAGACGGGAGCACGCCAAGTTTGCATTGGGATCGCGCTAAGATCGCGAAGGTACGCGCGCAACAAGATTGCATTAACTTCACTGCACGAATTTTTCCTGATGCCTTGGTTTTCAATACATAGTAGATAATTTACGATTTGATTAAACATACACGTAATCTAATTAAATTTATACTAATGGTTGAAAAATTATGAATTTTTCACCTGAAAACTAAGTTCGGAGTATCCCACCATACTTCCAATATAAGACAGCACCGCGTTGAAGAACGCGATAAAAGCAAAGAACGTGATCAACATGGCGGCAACGTTGGCGACCAAAGAAATTGCGGTTGATGCTCCTTTGGCAGCAGCCTCTATGAGATTTCTTTCCTCGCTTCACAAAATTAAATAAAATAAATTGAGCACTGAGAGTAATGAAGAGATTGTATCGCAAAGATTCTCTTAAAACGTGCGAGTTAAAATTAGGGGAACATGGGAGATGACCTCGCGCAGGAAGCGCGCGTGAGTGCAAAGGGTAACTCCGTAGCCTCTCAGTTACTTGTGCGATTTAACTTGAACACAAAGTTAGTTATCAGTCTTCGTTCTTGATAAAGGGCTCGTTCAAGGCATTGAATTATTATTTCAAACTTTGATACTACGAACTTACGGATTGTCGAAATGTATATCGCCCTGTGAAGTGGTCTGGGGTACTTCTGTCTCTGGGTACATGATTTTAGAAACAGCCAGAGCAGCAGGCGCTGACATTACCGAGGCTGCGACCAAATGTGAGGCCTGGATCCCAACACCGATATACGCCGCCATTATTCCCCCTGCCACTGTAGCCAGGCCTCCTGTCATGACCGCATGGAGCTCGGATTGAGTTAAAGTTGCAAGAAATGGTCTGATCATTAAAGGTGCTTCTGTCTAGAGAAATTCAAGTGGAAAGAAATTGACGAAAGAAACTGAGGTTATTGGGAGCCACACTTGATGCATTCGTTGGGATATGGTGACACCTCTATTGAATTTAGGTTATGACATGTCCAACATGGATGAAATCCTGTTTTTCATGAACGTCTGCAATGCGACTTCTCGCAAAGGAAACACCATTTCCCTTCTTTAAATGACTTAAGAGTAACTGAAATAATCTAAGATCTGAACTAGGAACCACCCCATCGTCCAGTCAAGTAAGGTCTTTAGTGTCAATCCGTTGGAGAGATGCATGAGATGCAATTTACATGATGCCATTAGAAAAGGCGCTCAAGAGGGTTATCACATTACCTGTCCGACGAAAATATTTCCAGCGGCCGAGAGAGACTCGGCAGCTGATGTCCCCATGGTGACCTGCATGAGCCAGGCAATCTTGGTGATGATCAGCGGCATCACACCAAGGTAGTAAAGAACTGAGATGAAAGAGCTGAAGAATATGATGACCGTTAGAACCTGGAAAAAAATTGTAGAACGCTCCATGAACAATGAGGAATACGTCAAGAAGGATTATTTAATATCCATTTTGCAAAAGAGTAGTGAAGCAATCTCAACCCATGCAAAATACTTCGAAGCGAAGATTTTTAGGTATATTCGGTTCGTAGAAAATGTTCATTTCAAATAATTTTAGTCGAGAAAAGTTGGAAAAACATCTTTGCGCCAAACTTAATTTAGGGGTCACAGAGAGAGTAAGTCTCGATTGAGTTTCGATAGCATTGCTTTGATTTTGCTTTACTTTGGTCTGTGATTGGTCGACAAAACTTGAGTCATACTCTGAACCAATCAGACGCCAGACGCAAAACAATCGTGACTTGGTCGCCCGTTTGGTAGTTTGTTTGTTTTTGCTTTGAGTGCTTATTGGCTAATGATGACGCAGACCTTTGCCATGATTGGCTGTTGTGATTATTTTGGTATTGGTATTTCGACTGCGAATTGAAAACTGCTCTATGGCTGGAGGGCTGATATTACCATACTTTTACATGCAAGAGTTTCTTTGGGATCTTTACAACCAGTTCGTTTTAATACCTTAAATGCGATATAGTGGGTCGCAAATTCATTTCCGAATACAAATGCAGACCCAACATCCGTGTAGTCGAGAAATCTTGCTACAGTGTCTCCGATAAATTTAAAGACTGTGAATCCTTGAGGGGTCCTGAGAATTATCAGAGCGAACACAAACTGCATTCCCATCCCCCACAGGACCGGCCTCCATTTCACCTACAAAAAAGTACATTTAAGTGATAAAAGCGTGGATCTCTACTTTCTATTTCTAGTTTCACCCCGACGCTTTCGAATCGTTTTATACTAATTTTTCCTCTAAACCTTTTTTTAAGTGTCTTGCATTAAAAGTGTAGCTCGCAAAATTCTTTATTATTAGAGTCTTTAATACTCTCTTCATCAACCAAGGTACTATCAGCCAATAAGGAACAAAATTATCAAGCACTCGTAACGTTAACACCATTTGATTAAGGGAACTCTTTCCACGCTTTTAGCTTGCCATTCCTCTGTTGTTTTTGCCTAAAGTCTTAAATGAATTATAAAAGAAAAAATCCTCTTTTGGTTTATAAAATTTGTAATCCTGCCTTTACCACAGTTACCCCCACCATCACCATCGTATTCCCCCCTGCCCCACCCACGTGCGTCTCAGTGCCAACTACAAACATAGTTTTCCATGACGTATACGCATGCACAATTGTTACTGAGATTCCGACTCACTTTTTTTCGGTGCACCGAAAACGCGTAACTAATTCCGACATAGACCAGCATTCCGAGCACGGATATGAATCTTCTCGGCTCCTTAGCTGTGTCGAGACCAAACCACAAACCAATTAACGTCAATATCACGAGAAGCACAATCCTGTGGGAAGATTAATGAGTATCAAAACAAAACAACGAAAGAACTAACTTACAAAAAAGTTGCATACCGTATTTTTACAAAGATATAACACTCTACTGTACAAGATCAGTTATTGTTCCTGAAGACTTGCTCATTGCGACAAATGGGCGATCGACATCGCTGACCGCGCAGGGCTCCCTTACACGATAGACTTAAATGAGAGTTAAGTGCACAGGTGGCATGTTGAGGACCATCCAGCGCATCAGTTTTAAAGCTGAGCCATCCCAGAATTGCGTTTACGTAGAACGCTTTAATTCTAAGGATTTATAGTCTCATCTCTAGTGAAGAGTGGGTCCTCATTCGGATGGTTTCAGCTGACACTCTTCTTCTTTAGTACCCCGCCCAACGATCACAAGGACGTTTCCCTTTGAGCGATCCAACTTTCGACCAATCGTTACCTCTGCATAAAAATTGCGCACACATCTTGGGTAACTCATCTGTATACTAATTATTCCATTGAAGTTATTCAAGTAACTTACCATCTAAGGATCCTCCACTTCTTTCGAATCAGTGAAATAACGGGTAAACAGCATAAAGTGTAAATTTCCCCTCCACAGTGGTCACGAATAAACATGTAGATCACGCAAAACCAGAATACCAGCGAGATGGCGAAGAGCCCTCTTACATGGTGAAATCCACTGATACTGATGGCTACAGCGCCCGGTAAGAGAGGAAAAGGCACTCAGTTTTATCGAACCAATTTTATCCTGGTCTATTCCAATACACTACGGTAGTAGACGTTCTTGGGATGATCTTAGTAAAATTTTCCCCTTTTAGAATTAACACCAAGGGTCCATTTGTAAAATTTATAAATTAACAACTGATTTCTATTCCCTGGCCTTGTTCCCTTGATTCTGTTGTCTCCTTGCAGCCGTCTCCGGGATGTCACGCAACGAATTTAAGGGTGGGTGGTTGCGTGATATGTCTGAAAAAGCCGAGAGGGAGAGAATTGATCCGATCACACTTTGACTCATTCGCTTCACCTCATTCACCCTATAACTAATCGCTTTACCTCTAAGCTATGACCCTGTTGTTTGCTTGTGACTCAGTAGCACTCACCTATAACTGTGTAAATAAGCAGTAGAAGCGAAATGACCACAACAATGACCTGAAAGGAGTAACGGTCCCAAAGGACATGCAAAGTCCTTATCCGTCTACGCAAGCCTTTTTCCTCAGAGGCTGCGCGTGGCCTTCCACTCTCGAGCGCGTCCGTAATGTCAATGTTATCCATAGCCGTGGAATACAAAACTGAGACCTGAAACAACGAAACACAAGCACATTTACTATGAAAAAGAACACCTATGTTTGAAATTCAATCTGCTTTATTCAATCACTCTCTAATTGGCTCAAAGGCTGCGCGCTGGCACCATGCGCCCAGGAGTAAGAATGAAGGAGTTTACCATTTTTCTCCCCTTTCCTGCCGCCGGTAAATTGGTCATTCTCGCGACACGCTCCTTGGCCCTCATCAACTGTTGCAGAAAGTGTGCTGTATGGCTTGCTAGACATACACTTCCGTCATTAATGGTCTGAGCAAGCCTTGCCGGGGAAAAATAGAGTGAACGTGCTTTTTAATCGAAGGTGATTTAATAGAAAGGGTCTGGTAAGGGTGGTATGGTATGTTTACATCATCCTTTTTCCCCTGCAACTACATACACTCTTTTATTCAAACTCGTTCTAAATCGAAATCCCCTTACCTGTGTGTGTGTGTCTTTTTCTCTTGTACGGTTTTTACGATTAAATGCGATGATGAACGGGTTATTTTCACAGGATTATCACAAGCTTCTATCGGAGCTAGTTACAAGAAGGGGAAACTAATCCCTTTTCCTCGCCCCACCCAGTCTCTTGTTTACTTAGAGGAAAGGGGTAAAACCTGCACCTGCTATTGTACGTCGATGTTTGTTCTTGTTATGCATAATCGTAAAATTAGAAATTCGTCGGTTATAGCCCCCCCCCCTTCTCCACTCAGCTGCAAACAAACAAACAAAAACTAGATAAAAGGAATACACACTCGTCCCCAGCAGGAGAGGGGGGGGGGCACTTTAAAAAGCGGGGTTTGTTATGTCGAGCTGTTAAAACTCCAACCCTGTTTATAGGTAAAACCAAAATCGTTTCAATTCGCCTCCCAGCATAAGCGAAAAAATTGCTATGGATTGTAGCATATCGATGTCAGACAGAAGCATCTAGCATATTGCCATGCATTTTACCGCAGCCAAAGAGTACTATACCGTAACAAAAGAGTAGCTTCCGGGCATCCGCAAGATCGGACATCAACGCCGTGAGAGAAAAGTGTCACTAGGGCGGACACACGAGATTGGCTCAAGTGGTGTTGTGGAAATGTGTAGAGGTTTGATATCGAATGCTATCATGCTTTGATGAACATGTGTTTTGGTCTGACAAGCAACACGAGGTGATAATTAAATGATGATGTTTTGGTGGACGTTAATTAACTTCACTATTAGCATGATTTCGTAATCACATACAGAAGACTAAACAAAGTTCTTCCATAAAAAGCCAAGTTACAAATTTTTTATTACTTTTTTACTTGATGATCTCTTGAAGGTTATATTGCAAAGAAGTTTGCTACTTTCAAAGTAATCATGGTTGTGTCAAGAGTTCATATGGATTAAGCAGTGTAATAGGCCTCTACTCAATGTCAGCTCAATGTTGTGACTTGACTTCTATCGGCGAGATTTTACTTCAGCTACCTTATTAATGTAGATGTGCGATCATGCCAGGTTGTTGATGAACATCGTTGGCTATCTCTATCTTATTTAGAACTAAACATTTACAAGAGCCACAAAATGGACCAACCTGATTATAATCACGATTCATTGCAAGTCGATGATTAGTGAAATCCGGCGCTCTGCCACGTGGAAGCCTTTGATCGATGCTTTCTCTGTATCTTCAGCGTCTTAGATCAAAGATCACCTCGACAACAACTTTACATGAACGCTACATGTTCTGCGTTTTCAAATCGATTGCAAGTTTACTTAGACCGAGTGCGAGCAATTGACAAACCGTTCGCGGCGTCAACTTGTGATGGCTTATTAATAGGTGATTTATGTGATTAAAAATGCAAATTTCTTTGCAGCTATGGTGATGTATTAGATACGGTTGGGTGCGCTAGGTTTGTTGAATGGAATTGGAAAGTTTATTTAATTTTGCAAAAAAGAAAATAATCCCGTTGTTGGTTTAAGATCCGCCCTTTAATAGATATTCTTGAAACTTGTCCAAACTTCCGTTCGTCGAGTGGCTTATGGACAAAAAGCTCCTTTCGAGAATTAGTTTCAACATTGATTTAGCCGTAGTGATCTAGTAGCCTTTCTCTACTGGAGTCAAGAGTCTCAAGAGTCAGAGTCATCCGTCTTCGCCTTAGAAACCTCTTCAGTAATATTGTTTCTATAAAGGTTTTAACGGTAGATGAGACCTTGTACGGTAAGGCTTGTTGGTACTTCTTCAAGAAATGGGAAAACTAAAACTAAATGTAACCTTTATGTGGAACACGTCTAAAAATTCCTGGTTGGAAATTTATGATTTGGACTTGTTTCAGGTTCCAAGACCTAAAGAAGAAATCTCCTCGAAACTCTTCTTCGAAATCTATACAAATAATGAACACAAATTACATTCACTTTTGCCAGAAGTGAACACATCTACTTACAGCCTCGGGAACCAAAGACTACATAAACTAACAAGATGTAGGACTGAACGTTGCAAGAACAGTTTTATTCTAAGTCACGTTTTTAATAACTAGATATTTAATTAATTGCAATTATATTTTTAATTATATACTATATTATAGGGTCTTTATAGTTTTCTTATTGTATTTATATATATATATATATATATATATTTATATATATATTAGTAATTGTAAGCTAGACGTAATTCAGCCTATGGATGCTATGTTTTTAGTCAATAAAACTATCTGTCTATCTATCTATCTATAGTCCTTCGCGTTTTCTTTTCAATGAAGGACTAAGGTACGTGCAGATTGTTGCTAACCCAAACCATGCTAGTAGTCAGAAAAGACGATAACAAAAAAAAGGTGAGATCCTAAAACAGCTGCAGTCTAGTCTCATCGCCATCACAGGTACATGTATCTACCTCAGGTACGAGACGTATTATTTAAAAACACTTGTGCTTGTCATGTTGATGACCGTTTATTTTCATCCATCTAGCTTTTAATTCATATCAGTCCGTAACAAAACTAACCGAAATAAGATGGACATGTCTGACTCATCTGCCTTAGATTTTCCATTGGTATTTTTGTAATTTTTCAATATCAAACGCATGTGTCTGAAATTGGACGGAAACGTCCAAAATGGGACAGAAACGACCGAAATGGGAGGGGAGTACCAAATCATTTGTGAAGTACCTTTCCTCTTGTGTCAGAGTCCCATCCGACTCTATCTCATGTAAATTTATATCCCATGATTCAGTGGGCGCACATGAAACACGTGGTAGTACGCGAACAATTTTCTTTATAACAGTTTTCCCTCCGTAAAGGTGATGAACGGTTGGTTATTTTATCTTATGACTTCTAGCGAACTGTCAGGTTATTTTCTAAATTCTTATAGCTAGTTAACCATACAAGGAGGAAATCGTGGGAAAAGAGGGAGTTAGAACGATAAAATCGTAGAGTTGTGAACTTGCCTCAGCCCATTTACCTCACTACTGAAATGCATTTTTCTCGTTTTTCCTTAGAGTTTTTTCCTTTTGAAATCTGATTGACTGCGGTGATTAATTTCGTTTTGGTTTTATGATACTTAATCATATTTCGCTCTAAAGCCAGATAACTGTTTACCAGTTGTGAAGGAAAAAAATTTTGGCTCTTTCACTCTCTTTCACTTCCAAGATCTGAATTTCACTTCTTTGCAATGTTTGCGATGCATTCTTTTTTGTTTTGAGCTGTTAAGAGTTTGGTGTTAATTCTAAGAACATCTCTCCGTTTACAATTTCTTTTTGTATATCAGCTTTCTGCTCAAAAGTTTATTGTTATTATTATATATAGGGAGAAATTGCTGTTTGGTCACTCTTGCTGGCTAGAGATTTGATAACTTTTCTGTAAGGCCCCCACATTCTATCTGTGAGTGTTTACGATAATGAAACCTTAGAGAAGGGGCTCATGATATTATGTTCAGATCATTATTATATTCTGTGTTACTAAATTTCATTCACACTGATGAACAACTGTGAAGTTATGAATAGAATGGATGATTATTCCATTAACTCTCTTTCAGAGTGAATGAACTCAGCAAGAGAGTTCAAGAACAGAGAATGGTTCTTCAGCCTAAGACTCACTTTATTTTGTTTTTCTTACTAGGATACCTTTGTTGATTAAGACATAAAGCATGGGGAAAAGGAAACAGGTAAGTTAGTGATGATTTGTCCTCGTTTTGTTTGTGGAAGAGACTATTTACTTAATAAAAATGATTTCTTGGTAGATAGTTACTCATCACAGGGTCTCCCATACTTGGAAGACATTTCAGAGTATTTGTAATAACAATTTTACCCCTTATCATCAATTACTGTTCTTTTTACTATGTGTCTGTGTTAGCTTTGATGAAAGTGCAGGGGTCCTGAAACCAGTTACAGATGTGGACTGGCTGACATAGCAGCACTGTCTTTGCACTTGTGGTAGAAGGCTTTGTTGATGTGTTGGGATTCTGCATGTGCTGAGCTAACAATTCTTAACCCTTTACACCCTGACAGTGGTATTTATATTCTCCACATTGTTATCTTAGATTTCCCTCATAGTACTGACAAGGAGAATTTGTTTGACCTTCAGGACCTTCTTAAATTGGTGATCTTATCCCATATTCTCATGACCTTTATATTTGATTCAAGAGTTATTCTGTAAAGAGAAATTAGAGGCCAGTCACTCTAAGGGGTTTAAGAGGTAATGGGGCTTTTTTATGTACTTAGTTGATCTTCAATTATTTTTTTTAAATTTTGATTGTGGTTTTCTCTTTTTTTTGAGGTCTATGTTGCTGCCATAAGGGACTTGGAAATGTAACTTGCAGTATGTTTTTGAGGCCAGGATATTTCACACATTCTTGTTATGAACAGCTGGGAAGCTGAAACTTACCACTAAGAAAAGGTTCTGAAGACTATTCTTGATGTCAGGAGATGCAAGTGCTAAAACTCTTAAATGAAATACTTTCAGTGCATACCTAACTGCAGTCATTTTTATCAGTTCTGTTGCAATGTCATTGACAAAAGCCTTTCTCATGACCCTCTTCATTCAGACAACCACACTGTATCATTGAATGGTACTTCCATTGACAAATAAAGTTTTGTTGAGATTGACTTGTGTTTATCTATTATTGACAAAGAGTTTTACCAATCATCTACATAAAATCCTCTCTGCCTCAGGGTTGCTGAATGGTAGAATGATGTTCATCTCTTCATAAGGTTTGAGGCAGAGATGGAAGAAAACTAAACTGTTACTTTGTATTTCAGAACTGTATCTTATTATTAACACTCAACTTGCCTTCAAGAGATAATTATTACTAGTAAGTTTGCACCACATAGAACACAAGTGTATCAATACCAATGCTACATACCTGGTGTACCGGTAAATTGAACTATTGTGTTCTCTTTTGTCTCTGGAAACAAACAAGACTGAACATTTTAAAACTAAATTCCAATGTTGGGCCTTGCCAGACATGGGGAGGGGTTTTGAGGGATGCTGATAAATTATTTTATTAATTTTTACCCAGTGTGATCCACTGTACCATATAGCAAAGAAAAAAAAACACTACAAAATAACTTGGTTGATAGTTTGTGGTTTGTATTTGTACACCAAATATCAAAATATCATAAAGAGTGAGATAAACTTATGCCTGAGTAAAAAGAATCTAGGATACCTGAATACCTGGGCCTGCAATACAAAGGCACCAATCCCACAAGACAATAAGGTCGAATGCTGGCAGAAGGACATGTTTTGATAACAAAATTTCTAATAGAGTGGATGGACAGGATAGCAAGCTGTGTGCATGAGCAGTATTTTTTTCTTAGTGGCCTCTTGATACTTCATACACCAAATTCATGGAGTTTTCCAGCATGAAGAATCTCTATCACCAGAATATTTTTGTATTTAGAAATTCAATGTTGAGCACTGAAACTTCAGCACATTCTTCTGGAAACTGAACTACAGAGTTTCTGAGGCTTATTCCTCAGAGCCTTTCAGTAATGTCTAATTCTTCCACTACGTGTTGTTTTTTTCTTGCTGTCAATTTTACTGTGTCCTTTTGTGTAGCTTTCTATTGAGGGTTTTGGAAGGATTTTTAATCTGTGTGTCCTATGCCAGAATCAAGAAGCTTGCATGATATGTTTTTTCACTCCTAATCACCACTTTTAAACCCTAGGGGGCAAATGTCAATATGAAATGTAGCCTTAGATTCCCTTTTCCTTTGTTCATACCCTTTCTTTTCCAGCTTCCAATCAGTTTATGGGGTTACAGTCCTACCCTAGCTACCGCTTGAGTCTGGAGATTACATTGAAGGCCGAGGGATAGGTAAGTTGATTGGGATCTGGATCCTAATTGTGTTCTAGTGCCATTCCTACACGGTAGAATTGCCTTGTAGAAACTTTGTTTTGCACCGCGTAAACAGGTAAACCAGCTTTCAATGTAGTTCACCCGCGAATAGTGCGTTTTACGGTCGGTTTTAGAATGACTTCCATTCAGGAACTGGAACATTCGGCCGCCATAATGATGGTAAGAGTTCAGATTACTCCTTTTAGCCGATTTATTTTCATATGAACCGGTTTAATTCGCACGTGGGTTTTCAGGCTCCGCCAAATGCTGTGACGCATCAACAGCGCCAGTCCGCCGAACAAGTGTTCCTGAATTTTAGAAGATCAAAGTCACCTTACCTGGCATGCAGGCAGATCCTAGGTAACCAATATTGTGATCTCCTTTTGATCAATTTAATTCTTAGTTTAATCGATCACACAATCTTAAAGTCATCTTTCAGTCTCTCTCGTGTCTTCTCCATCATGACGATAGAAAAAGGACAAAAAAAATTATCAACATTTTATTACAAGCCCTCCAAGAGCCCAGATTGAAGAACGGTTTTAAAACTAACTTATTCATATCAGTCTTGAGTTAAAGTTTCCGCACAGCCCCATACTATTGTAAAACAAATCTGTTTTCCCAATGGAAATGTATTGTTTTTGTCATTGTTTTCTCCATTCAAGAACTGAATGCATAATATAGGATGGGGCTGTGTGGAAATTTTACCACATACCTATTGCTAAAATTATTTTATACCAAACTAGTTCATTTTGCCTCTTAGTATATTCCACACAGGTGAATAGTGCTTTTTGTGTGTGCTGATTGGCTAGTTTAGAAGTGATCAGCAACTACTATTCACCTTCAGGCAGCTGAAGAGACACAATAATGCATCAAGAGTTTGGTTTTCGACCTTTTTTTGTTTTTTTGAAAGAAATAAACTCATTTTTGGTATTCTCTGAGGTGTATTCTTACCTCAGAGTGGGTGAAAGTGGTGAACATTTGCCAAACAGCATTCTATGCTT